AAACTCTCGGTGCTCTCTGCCCTCGCACCTTGAGTTTGAGGGGGGGGGTGTGAATATATATTCTGTATCTTGAATATATATTCTGTATCTTCTTGTAATATGCTATTTTAGGACATGTATCGTAATCAAATCCTAGCATAATCATAGGGTAATCATATCGTAATCAAATCTTGTAATCTTCCTTTCTTAGGTGTAGCTTTACTCTATTTAAAGGTGTACTCACCTCATTGTAATTCATTCAGAAATAGTATCAGTATTTCCGTCTCTGTGTCTCTGTTTTCTATCAGAAACCAAACCTTCAGAGGATGTGGATCCCCCATAAACAATACTAGCAGTGGCAAGACCATTGAGGCACAGTTAACATCTTACCAGCAGCAACAGGCGCACAGTCAATAAATAAGGCATTCTCACACTTTTCCTTTTTTTGAAAGGCAAAAGAAATTATTAATCTTTGAAATTGTTACAGAAATTGTTACAAAGACTAAAGGAACTAAGATTTGACGGCGTACTCTCACATGCACACACACCTCTGTAGCTCCCCACACAACACCGGAACACACACTCACACAATTAGACCAGAAAAGTAGAGATCCCTTTGAACGCACAACACACCCACAAAACTGGAATACACACTTCTACCCCTTCTCTGTTGTCTCCGAACCCCCTGGCATTACATGAAAGGATCTGTCACTGAGACTCCCCGTTTGATGCAGATAAAGGTTCCCAATCAATTTGTAAATGTAGGATGTACTAATTTTGAGAGATCATTTGCATGGAAGAAAAATGAACTAGAAAAATCCAAAACAGGTCATATTTCTACGTAACTTATCATCTTAGTGGCTGCTATTTCATTGCAGCAAGTTTGTACTATTCTTGATCTGAATATACCCCTAGATCAATTTGCAGAGTCTCTCAATCCCTTTTGATGCAGATAAAGGTTCCCAATCAATTTGTAAATGTAGGATGTACTAATTTTGAGAGATCATTTGCATGGAAGAAAAATGAACTAGAAAAATCCAAAACAGGTCATATTTCTACGTAACTTATCATCTTAGTGGCTGCTATTTCATTGCAGCAAGTTTGTACTATTCTTGATCTGAATATACCCCTAGATCAATTTGCAGAGTCTCTCAATCCCTTTTTGTGTATCGGTAAGAATTGATCTGAACCATAATATTCTTCGGCATTGAATTGAGGTGAATCTGATTCTATTTTTTCCCTCACAGCAAACTGGATGATGTCCGAGTCCAATTTTGTGACCCTTTATGTTGTTTATGTTTATCTTGGCAAAATATAACAACTCAGTTCCAATATGTATCAATAACTCTCTATCTAGTCCTATAGACTTCCATAAACCAACAACGCCACATTGTAATTCATGAATGAGAAAGAGAATAAACAGACAACGCCACCATATCAAATATCATTAACATTCATAGGAATGTCATACCTAAAACAGGTCTCATAAAACTGTTCAAAAAATTAACCAAAGCACAGCCACATTCATAAGAGTAAGAATGAATTCCTGTTCAAAAGATTAACAAAAAAGAAGCTATCTGTAGGGAGACAGAGAGATCATAACAGCATCTAATGATCTCAAATGCAACTAGAACTACTAAAGATGCCACCATTGAAGTACGAGGGGCCGGAGACTTGTTCACGACAAAACAGCAGCAGCTAAAAGACTTTTAGCTGGGGGGAAAAGAGCAACAGAACCCCTGTCTGGACTTGAAAATTTCCTGTATACTGCCCTCAACTTAGTCTCTGCAGCCTCTGTCTGGAAGCCAACCAACAGCTTCACACATTCCCTGTTCACATGAAAAAACAAAAAACCACCCAATTCAACACTAGTTAGCGTAAAAACAACACTGATTGGTGAAGAAAACCAATGTATCGTGACAATCGCATTACCCCAATTGATTTTCAGAGTAGCCGGTGTGCTGCTTCAGAGTTTCGGTCCAAAAGGGGTGTTTGTTGAGGATGCATCGTGAAGCATAAACAGCCGAAGCGGCAATCATTGAAGGGCAGTACAGTATGATGGTGGAATAGTGCACCATACCAAGTTCTGCAAGAAAAAACACCATATTCTCCATCTGCATTATAAACAAACCAAAAAGGTAATAAGAAATCTACTTTTATTTGCTCCAATCTGAGTAAATCTGAACAACTATTGTTATTATGCATACCTCTGGATCGAAGGGAACAGAAGCTTTGATATATCGAACGAGGAATACATATGGCGTAGGAACTGTCAAGTACCATTCCAGCTTTCCCAATATAGCCTTCTCCATAAGAAGAATGTCCCCTCTATCATAAGCATTGTCTGATATTTTAATGAAGTCATTAACCTACAAAACAGCAAAAAAGATTATAACCACCTAAATTCAAGTGAAACCAAATTTTTGAATAGAGGCAGTTTCAGATCAAGACACTACCTCTGGTGCCCAAATTTCTTCATACTTGCAAGCAATGAGCATTGAGCTAATGCCAACCAACTGAAGTTCCCGCCTTGGGACAGTCTTCATTGAGAGGTACCGGTCCACTATGTTAATGGTAAGGTAGAGTGACTCGGGCATCAGCTCAAACTTCCTATGAACATCTGTCAACCAGTCAATCAGAATTGATCTCATCTTTGAATTAATTTCAGGTTGCGTATCAATGTAGTCATGAACTCGGCTCTCATCCTGCAGCAGCATAAATTTGCGTTAGACAAATAGAGAGAGGGAGAGAGAGAGAGAGAGAGATAAATCGATAGATCGATAGATAAATAGATAGAGTGATAGAGGCATAATAGGCTGCGTATCAATTACCTCTGCTTGCTTGTAGTACTTGTACATGTCCTCGACATACTCCACGACTGCCAATTCGTTATCCACATCCCCCAAATCAATCTCTGCTATTGGATTCTTCGGTTTTATGGTCAGTCCACAAGCAGCCTGAGGAGAATCAAAATAAGTTAAAACAATGACAACGCCGGGCCACACATAAAATCTGCCTAAAAAGTATAACCAGAGAGTATATATCAGATGAAGAAAAAGTCACCTTGCTTCGTGCAGTGAGAATCGAAGTCAGGGTTTTCCTCGACGATCCTTTTCCAGATTTCCTTGCACTAACAATAGGCTTCTCCTCTTCAGATTTCAGTTCCTCATCAGGGCTTATGACAATAACCTTCTTGGGTTTTTGCTGTTGATCATGTGCTTTCTTCTGAGCAGCTCCTTTCCTTGCCATCACTCTGCTAACATCAGCAGCGGCGCCGCCATTAATGACTTCTGCAAGTGGTTTCTGCAGTTTACAAGAAAAATCAAAGTAAGCCTTTTTCATATCCCATATCTATGTCAGTAACCACGATCTGGGATAGAACTCAGTGGTTTCTTTTACCTTGTTCTTCTTTTCTAATGCCTGTGGATTATTAGCCTGTAGTTGTGCAACAAAATTCCTGTAGTTTCGCACCGATTAATGTTCGTTAGACAAAAGATAGACACACACAAACGGTCGATCGATGGATCACAGAGAGAGAGAGAGAGAGAGAGAGAGAGAGGACCTTGTAATAGGGCGAGAGATATGGTTTTGAGGCTTTCCTTCTACAGGGTGAACAGTTGTAGCAAGGTTTCCGATATCTCTGAGCACGCGCCGGGGTCTTCCTTCTGCTTGTCCATTCTTGTGCTCAAGTCCTCCTAAGGAAATCCCAAATTCAAAGCGTAAGACATGTATAATGTCCTAATTCAAAAGAAGAATAAACAAAAGAAGAAGATAATCCAAGTGAAAGTGAATCACCTAAAGAAAAAAGGAAGAAAATCAAAGAAACATAAAGAAGAAAGCCCCACCCTCCTCTTCTCCCTGGAGAGGAAGAAAAAAGATGCGAAATTTCGTTTCAAGTAGCAGAAGTAAATCATATTTCAGTTTCGCTCATCAAAAAATAAATAAAAAATCGTATTTCAGTTTCAAGAAGATACAAAACAAATCACCCAATTATTGAATTAAGGAAGAACAATAATCATGAGAGAAAAAAGATGATCCAAGAAGTAGGGTTAATCCACGTTCGATTTTTAATTATCACCCATCTGATCTAGCAAAATAGAATTTTCTAAAACTCAAGTAATCGATCGGTAAACCAATTATAATCAATCATCAGAACCTCCCTCTCTCTCTCTCTCTCTCTCTCTCTCTCTCTCCATGTCATTAACCAGATCAATTGCCATATCCCACAAAAGAAAATCACCGACTGACAAAACCCAGAACAGAAAATCACGGATTGACAAAAACCCAGAAAAGAAAATCAGGGATTGACAAAAACCCAGAAAAGAAAACCACGGATCATGGTACCTCTGGGTTGCTTTGGAACAGCAGCAGCTCTCGAAGCCATATCAGACTGTGGTTCTTCTTCTTCCTCCTCCTCTTCTAGGTTCTGACCGAAAACCCCTCCAAGACTCGCAAACAAAGACGACAAGAACACCTGGAGACGACCGTTGAGTGTCTCTCCTTCCGTATCCTCGGTCGCCACTTCGATCGAACAACTGGGAATCTCTTGAGAAAAAGTGCTCTGGAATTCCTCTCCCCCTTCGTTTCTATTTCATTTGTTTTTGAGCAATTGAGAATGTGAAGAAGGAGCCTAGGTCCTCCTTTTAATCTCGGAAGCGACGCCTCACCACAACGGTCACATTTTTCTGTTTCGAACGGAGACCGTTTGATCTCGTGTGATCCAACGGCCTTGGTTGCGTATCTTTTTTTCTAGCCGTTAGTGGTGGTACGCACGAGAGAGGAAATCAGGGAAAATTACCGTTGGAACACAATTCCTTTTTCCTAATTCCTTCTCGTAAAATTGGTAGTAATTTTTCCTGCAAATATTTTCTGGAGAAATCGCAAAGGTCATATCCGTCTAGTCTCATTCAACTCTCAATATAGTCCCCCCAAGTATCATTTACATCAAATTTGAACTTTAATTATTTGTTTTCAATTAAGTCCTACCAATAATAGTTGATAAGCAATTAGAAGGAATCTAGAGCAAAATTCAACACACTAATGCACTAGATCCCATCAGAACTCTGCAGTCAAGCGTGCTTAGGCAAGAGTAGTACTATGATGGGTGACCTGCTCGGAAGTCCTCGTATTGCACCCTTTTTTGAATTTTGTACAAAATTTTCTCCCCCTCCCTCCTTTCTCTTTGTTCGTCGTCAATTCCATTTCCTGAATTAACTCCTTTCGAGTTTATTCCCCCATTGGCTAGTCGAAGTGAGGGACACACACTGCTGAAATAGGTCAAAGGCCTCATGACATGTCTTGACCACTTGGTGGGATCGTTGAGCTAACTCACGAGGATTGCATTCTTCTAGAAATCAACTGAGAGTCAGTAATTTGTTCACCGTCAACAAAAATCAGAATTATTAAGAACAATGTTGATCTTGGCTAAATAAACCTTAAGAATTGAAATTGATGTACAACTTGTACAATCTTACCATAAGTAGTCTAGTTGGTGTCTTCATCTCATTGAAATAAAGAAAGAATGGAACGATAGGATAAGTATATATAATTACAGTGTGACACCAATCGTATAGTATATCTTAACCCCAAAGGGTTGACCTGATCGTCAAGGCTCGTGAGTTACGATTTGCTACCTCATAAAGTTTCAAATTCGAAATTTCTCATGTGCTACCAACTATTTTAGAGTCAGTCCATACGGAGCTTTGTTCTGACTTTAATCGGGACCCGTTAGCAGACGATGAAATTAGTTCCTAGGATTACTCAAGATACGCATAGCCGCATAACCCGGTCTGGACACCTGAGCTATAATGTAACGATCCTAATTTTTGACAATAAAATTTAATGTTCAATTATCATTTCTTTTTACTTAATTTTAATTCTATAACCTATTCTAAAGAAAACCAAATCTAGTACTAAGTATATACGTACCTACGCATATAAATATATTACACCCCACTATTATTATTGTGTGTGGATAATTTATTTTTATTTTTGTTGATAAACATAAGCATTAATTGCATGCATGTATATATTGAAAAGATAGAGCCGAAAAGAGGCCAGGGAGGATGAACTTTTATCCATTCTCTGGCTCACCCCGTATCACTTATCCAATCACAGTAGACTTGGTGGGCAAGAAAAGAAAGAAGATAAAACCGAGAGAGAGTAAGTAAGAGTTAATTACTACACCTCTGCCTATAAATACTACACCCGTGATTTCCATTTCACACACACATCACATGCAAGCACAATTCTAGTGAGAGAGAGTAAGAGTTAATTTTGTGAATTGGAGGCTCAATTTGTGCCACCCCCAAACTGACCCGACGACGCTAGAATCCTACCGCCGAGAAGAAAGGTAGAAACCTTTTATCGATCTACTCACCTAAATATAATAGTGCTATATGTTCGCTTAATTTAAAAAAGTATTGATCAATAAAAGATAATAGAGTGCTGTGGTTATCGGAATCGGGTTACATTAACTGAAAGGAAAAAAAAAAAAGATTTTCTTTTTGTTTCGCATGTAAAAAAAAAATGTGTAGACATAATAGTGTTAATTGAAGTATACCACGTAGGAACCGGAAAATGATGTATTGACTGTATGATGGAAATGTTTTATACTTGCACCACGTGCAATTATTTATTTATTTTTGTTAAGAAAAGCATGACTTAGAATCTAGCTATTGAAATTAGAACCCAATTGTTATTGCATGATAAAAGTTTAAGAGATCGGTTGTACGGCACGTTTTACTAATGACGAATTAGCAATGTTGTTTTGGATTGTTGGAATTCGAGAATTGGAACAGTAGAAAAGCATGGGTATTGAAATCATATTGTTGCATGTTTTTTTTTTTAAAGTTTTGGAGGAATAATGTTGACTGCGCAAAATGATGTATGTATACGAGACACGAAAAACCGAAAAGTTGATTATAAGAAGAAACGAGGAAAAATTAAAAGCGAGAATTGACAATTGTGTGAGCATGAGAACCTGGTAGGTCCATTGAAGATGGTCAGTGGAATCATGACTCGAGTGTACGAGCATGGGAGCCCGATAGGTCCTGAGAGAATGGTCGGCAGAACCATGGCTCAGGTATGCGTGTGTGGCCTAGGAGCCCGGTAGGTCTTGAAAGAATGGTCAGCGGAACTAGTGCCATGTGTGTTGAGAAATGTGAAATGATTAAAGACTGAGAGTCCGGTAGGTCCGAAAGAGTCGGTCAGCGAAATCAGTGCTTTTGGGTGGCAAAATCTGAATTTAGCCTGAGAGCCCGATAGGTCCTGAAAGACGGTCAGCGGAACCAGTGCTCGAGGAAATAAGATGGAAAGGGGAGTCGATACTTAAAAAAATGAGGACACGAATTACGATACGCTACGATGATGATAAACTCTAGCAAGACACTGACACTTTATCTGTTGATTTGATTTTTATGAACGGTTGACTCCAGAAAATATACTATTCAAAGTTTTATACTATTTTTGTTAGTGTAAGGGACATAGGGATAAGAGTTAGCTACTGAGCTTAATTGCTCATCGGATCTACTTTTTGTGGACCTGGCGTCTTATTCAAGATAATAGAGAAGGACAGGAAGGGTACTACAGTTTGGAGGAGTTTGGTGCAGGACAGATGGTTGCAGAAGAAGACGGACGCACTGAGGAGTAGAAATTATCTTAGTACCATTTCCGAGATTTGGATTAATGTTATTTAAATTTCCAAGACTATTTGGAACTGTAACGACTTAATTATCCTCTTTATTTAAATAAATGACAAACTATGTTTTAAAATTATTTATTTAATGTTCCCAAAAATCGGGGCGTTACATATAAAATAAGAATCTTATGAGATATTTTGACCAAGCTTATGGCTTCATACAGTACTTTTATAGTATATAATATGATAATAAATGATTTTGTCACTCCGCTTGTACCCTCTTGCACTCTTTTTCTTGTCGTTATTTAAGTGGCATGAGAAAAATGCCTTCGTATGTGAAGAAGAGAATTCATAAGTAATGATAGTTTGGTAATTTCACGTCAGTATAAAGCTACAAACCACCAAGAAAAACAAAAAACAAAAAAAAGGAAAAAAAGAGATTACAAAAATCATTTCCCAATATGTTTAACAAAGTCTACTATTGTGGGTCTTTTGACATTTGGACAACCACTCTTAGGCTACCAACCACTCTTAGGCTACCAAAATACATTCTGATCACAATTTAAAAAGCTAAAAATAAAAAGCCAAAAAATAGGCTATCAAACACCCCTTATTCAGCCGCCCCTCAATTCATTTATCTCACTAGACTGTAGCTTGTTCTTTGTTGCCTAGATGCAGAGGTATGCAATCTCTCGCAAACTTTATATAGTTTTCACATAATTGTAACTCTAGGCTGATTTTTATTTTTATTTTTGGCTTCGTATTTCGCTTTCAAGCAGGTATGATGACGAAAGAGATTTGAATTGGGTTATTGTAGTCACTGAAATAAAAGTTTATTCCACTGCGGATTTCGTTAGATGCCTCGATGAGATCAAGAGAAATAGAAGGATGGAGATGGACCGTGTAATCAGAGTTCTTCTTGTTCTTATTTTTTGTTAGTAGTGTATGGTCTTTGTTTTCGTTTTTCCGGTTGCGACCTAGCCCAACTTTGTTCCGAAATTGGAGAGCACAATGATTGGCCAGGCGATATGTGACAAACTAGTTAGGATATATCTCTTCGACAATGACGCTACGCTTTTATTCCTTTGTTTAACGTGTACTCAAGTTAATGAATTTTCTTATTTCTTAAAATAAAAATAAAAAAACAAAGGTTACCACGACGAGATAAACCTTTTGTGATGGCAATGCAAAATCATTTCAGTCTAATACTACCTCCATCCCAATTTAATTTTTACTTTTGGGAGTTCGTGCCACTTTTTAATTGATTATATCTTGTAATTTATAATGTTTTAAGTGATTTTAAAAACATTGTATTATAAAACGAATCGAAATCTATCAAACGATATCCATATTTGATATAAAATTCATTACTAATTTAAAGATACAACTAATTATTTTTAGCTAGATAGAACAGAACTGGGACAAGTAAATTGGGACGGGAGTACTAAAATGCCAAAAAAAGTCTACAAATAATCTGCTCAATTTGTCCTTTATTTATTTTGTTCTCTTCTGACATGTGACTACAATTATTAGCAAAACGAGTGTGACATTTCGAATTTGTCGTTACCCGTAAATTGGGTCACATGCTCTGTCTAAGACATCACCATGATTTGGTCCAAGGATTAGTCAGCAAAATTTACCTCTAACGATAAAAAACGTGCATGGTAATTCTCGTTAAGGATGGGTTCGTATATATATATATATTTTTACCTCTACGGTCAATTTCATGATGAAAGTTATCGTTTTACCTTTCACTAAATATTATTTCACATTTTTTGGGTATATTTTCGTCACCTCCTTCAACCTCCAACCATTAACAACATCCGGCTAGTGACCAACTCTGGCCAGCGAACTATTAAACCGTTCGAAATTTTCAAAGACAAATGTACTTATTTATTGTCCTTTTTAAGTTTGATAAGCGTTGTTTTCCGCACGAAGAGTGAGAAACGAGCTTAATAAAATCAACCGATCTATTTCTCACCGCTTTCGATATTCCATCAGATCAGTGTAATTTTTCTGCACACAAAACGTGTAGAGTATAACTAGCCGAATAAAATTAACGGATCAAATGTGGATGCAATTTTTTAGGCATACGAGGACGCCTATTATGCCCCAAGCACGGCCCCAGATCCCATCAAATCACGTGAGGCTGCCTTCCAATTGCTATTACAAAATAGTACTCCACGGCTATTAAATTATTGGGCCCTGTGGGGGGTAAAATGTAGCCAAACCCTATTTCAACTTGCAAGTGATACATGGGACTTTTCGAGTCGGGATGTGGATGCTATCGAGCATCCCTCTATAGAGCATGTGTAGATGTGTCAATCCGGCACTTTATTGTGGCAATCGACAATTTAAAATGTTTAACCGAACAATAGACAGTTCGAATTTATATATGTTCGGTTTTAATCAAAGATGAACTGCCGAAACGAGCGGAGGGTGCTCGGGAATATCCCCTTCCCGAGGAGCCATTTTGTCTTTTAGGATAGGATGCTTTC